AAAATACATTTGCAAATTTAACACCATTAATTTGGGCTTGAATAGGGACTGGGAGAGGCTGACTCATTACAAAAGCAGCTTTGCCTCTCCTGGAATTGACACCTATTATTGGGAGTGGACCTGATTGAATTGGCCCTGTCAACATGGGTTCTCCGCTTGGGAGGTCACTCCCGTCTCTTCATGTGCCAGTATATTTATGTCTGCAGCTGTAAGTTCCACTCCGTGCATCTGAAGAAGTGGGGTTTTACCCATGAAAGCTTATGCCCAAATAAATCTGTTATTCTTTAAGGTGCCAGCGGACTCCTTGTTTTTGTGGATACAGACTAATGCGGCTACCCCGCCGATACTTGCTACAGGATACTGAAGCCAGGCACTTGCGTTCCAGTGGTACGTCCTATAACACTAGTGACATAGATCTGGCCAACATACAGAGCTTCACCTGTTTAATTTAAGGTGTGATTTAAAGCCACTCTAATTAAAGCGATGCAATTTTATCTGTGGACACTTAAAAATGGCTTTAAACCTGGCTTATAGCGGTTTAGTGTGTCTGTGCTTGTAGACGCAAACTAAACCGACAGATCCAGTCGTAAATTGCTAGATGAGGGTGCATACGGGGATGGGGGGTGTTTGGTGTTACTAATCCATTCTCAAATCAATTGCCATTAAACCAGCGCGACTCCAGAGTGCTCAGTTAGCTTGTGAACATAAAGGAAAGACATGTCTGATCACCCCGGTCCTAGGCCAAGCAAGGGAAACCGGAACTGCCAGTTAGTAGAACAAGGGCAGGTAATTTGAGGGACCCCAATTTACTAATTTGGTTGAGAACCGACCCCGAATAGAACTATTGCTGGGACTAGTTACATTGCAGTTATCGTGTCACTTTGCCTGGCCATAAACCTTCCCCTGGCCCTGTTTGCACCCAACCATCACAGCCTGGGGCGAGCCGGAAACTGACCAACATGAAACTGACTAGCCTGTGTTCCTCCCATACACAGCATCAGCATCAGAGCTGCCAGCCCTGCAGGGAGCTGGGGGTGTCCAATGGACCCACAGGAGGAGTTTGGGACTAGGGAGTGGAATCAAGCTGTTGTGGGATTGGTCCCTGAAGTGAGGCACAGGAGAGAGCTGCATCTGGGGAACTGGGCAGCGGTGCTGTAGCCCAGATGTCTGGATAGGAAGCCTTGGTCTGCTCCAACCTCCATTCAAGGGAACAGGAACTTTGTACCTGTTGTAAGCAAACAAGTCACACTAAGGAAATACCTGATGGTATCACCCATTTCTGCTCCAGACAGGAAACTGACCCAGCAGGCCCCAAAATCTGCTACTGCTCAGCAAAAAGGGCAGCAGAATACATGTCAAATCCTGTTCTGAACCCTGGTAAGCTCTCGGCCTTGGCAAGACATTGTAGCAGTGAATTCCACACGTTAATTGTGTGCTGTGCAAAAGGTATTGGTAACACGGGGAGGGAATTTGTTTTTGAAATGTATTGTTTTGAATCCAGGTGTGTCCCTTTAATAAAAGGAACAAATTGGGAGGGATAATTCACAATGGTTATTGAATATGACCTAGATCATTAGAGGTACTTAGAAGCCGAGCTCCCATTGATTTTAATGGGAATTATGGGCCTAAATACCTTTGCAGATCTGAGCCTATGTGTTCAGGATATTATCCTGCTAAGAAAATGATTTCTGGGTAACTCCTCCCCCAAACACCAGACATATCAGCAAAATCCTGTTTAATAAACCCATGGCCCAAGTTTCCCCTGTGACAGACTGTGTTCCTGTGTTCACCACTTTTACAAGACTGTGATAAATTTTGTACAAAGTATGCCTTGTGAGGTAGCATTTGAAAACTCATAATTCACTGATCATTATTGTCCTGGTAAAATTGGTGTGGCAACATTGTATGTAAAGTTATACGCTTCCACTGTATGATGTTACTAAAGCATATTTCAAATCTGGGGAAGCAGCCCAAACAAGTTCCTTAGAGACAAAAAGGCAAATTGATGCCTGAGCCAGGTGTCAACAAAATCAACTGGACTATCACCTGATTAAGCAGCCCTTCTTTGGCAGGAAGAAGGATGTCAGTGAGAAATTTACATCTTGGCAAAGACCAGATTTGCTGTTGCCTGAATCCCAGTTGGAAATGATTCTCAAAGAGGAGGAAAAGATATAAAAATGAGGAACAGAGCCCCCAAAGCACGTCTCTCCCCTCATCTCTACTCACGGTTTCAACAACGTTTGAAAGACAAAGGAAGCATCGGTGGACTGGGGAGGGGTCCTGGCCAAAGGAATCCAGCCAGACTGCTGTGAGCATGTGGTGAGAGAAATCCATTTACTTTAAGTTCACGTGGCTCGTTAAGTTGGGTATTAGTTTGCGTTTTACCTTTTATTTCTTTGTAACCAATTCTGGCTTTTATGCCTCATTCCTTGTAATCACTTAAAATCTCTCTCTCTGTGGTTAATAAATGTGCTTTCTTGTTTATCTAAGTCAGTGTGTTTGGACTGAAGTGTTTCGGAACCTCCCTTTAAGCTAACAGGGGGTGTGCGTAGCATTTGCTATTAATGTAATCATGGACTTTCTATGAGCTTGTGCTGCACACAAGGAGAGAGCTGGGCAGAACAAGACGCACATTTCTGGGGACAAGTCTGGGACTGGCAATTTGCTGGCGTCACGCTGCAATGTAAGCACTGATATATTCAGCTGGCAGTGATCTGGCATGCTAGAGGCTTTGTGAACAGACCAGGAGTGGTTGTTCTCACTGCGACACAGTGTAAAAGGCACTCCAGATTCAAAAGTTGAGGGGACACAGCTGTCCATCAGTCCAGATTGTACCGTGGGGAATGTCACAGCCCCCTTCGCAGAACTACATAAAGTTTAATATTTGGAAGAACTCAGGTCACATTCCATTAGCTCATTGGTCACTTATTCTTGTAGCAGAGATTTGGTTTGACCAGATTCAAAGTGAATGGATTTTATTTATTCTAAGCATCAGCCAGATTGTGGGTGGAGTATGGTCTAGTGGTTAGAGCACAGGCTTGTGCATCAGGACTCCTGGGTTCTATTCCCACCTCTGAAAGTGAGGTCTCATGGTTAGAGCAGATGATGGCATGTCAGCCTAAGCCCAGTTTTACTACTGTAAGACAGGGGGCAAATCACTTAACGCTTCTGCACCTCAGTCTTTCCACCTTAAAATGGGTCTTTTTATTATGTGCATTGCAGTAGTGCCTGGGGTGCAGTCATGAACCCTTGCGTTAGGTGTGGTACATACCCACTGCAAAATACCAGCCTGTCCCTGGAGAGCTTACATCTACCTCTTAGGAAGACTGTGAAGCTCAAGTCATTAATATTGGGTGAAGTATTTTGAGATCTTCAGAGACAAGCCTCAGGGAAGCCCAAAGCAGAGTGAGTTTTTATCTTGTGTGGTTCTAGCCTTTTAATTTGCACAAATTTAACGGCGCACAGCAAGGAAGGGACTGGCCCACATCACCCAGAGGAGCGGTCCTCTCCCACCTCCTACCGATTTGCGGCTCCAAAATGAGACCTCGCTGACAGTCGATGGCACAGATCCCCCAATATGATCCTCCCGCTCCCTTCCTGCAGGCTTTGGCTAGCAATGAAATCGTTACCAATGGCCATCTGTGACGTGACTCTGACACACAAGCGCTGTGGAGACTTTGTCCCCTGGCAGTGGAAGGATGCCCCAAAGCACGTCCCCAGGGGATGTCAGACTCTGTATGGACCTGGGCTTTCAGAACAGACCAGCCAACGCTATCCGAGACACGCACAACTGTTAGAGCTGGATCCCTTTGGGGAGGAGACCCCGGGCTCCGGGAAATGAGAGAGAGCGGAAAGGAAGGAGCCAATTCAAACAATAAACCTGCAGCACAAAAGCAGCCCCCCTGGCTCCGCGTTCCCAAGCTGAGCCCCGATGGGCAGCAAGCAAAGCGCATGGCCGCACTCCCTCCCAGCTACACCGCACGCGAGCTCGCCACCCGAAATGGCAACGCGCAGAACAAAACCAGTTCAGCAGGAACTTGGCTGCCTTCCACTGCCAGCTCTTTTGTCTGCCGGATTAAAGAGCCCCGAGCAGGTGCTTCCAGGCCGTGCTCAAGTCGCCGGCTGGACCTTCTCATTGATCAGCTGCACAGTTTGCTTGTGCCGCCCCTGCTCGGAATGGCCAGGGCTGGGCGCAGCTCAGGGTGCATGAATCCCCTGGGGGCGAGGGGGGCGCGCGTTTGGCTGGCTGCTTTCGGCTGCTAGGTCTGACATCCCCCGAGCGGAGGAGGCCTTAGGCCCAGATCCTCAAAGGAAGTTTGGAGCCTCGGTACTTTTCAGGAGCTGGGCCTCGGGTGTGGTTTAATTTTTGGAATGGAAGCCGGAAGCCCAGTTTGAGTCCTGGTTCTGAGCGAGGTCCTCAGGGCCTCCGAGGCTTGGTACAAACAGGGTCCTGAGCGGGGGGGACACATGTCATGAGAAATAAAAACGGAACTGATCACAATCTTAACACTGGGAATCCCCCTTCATCTTCTGCCAGGTGGAGCCTAGGTGGGGGGGGGAGGAGGGGGAGCAGCTCCCTGGGATAGGGGGAGCACCTGGAGTTAAACCACGGGGGAGGGGAGTCTCCTTAGGGAGGGGGACCCTGGGCCACCCCCCCTCAGTCACAGCTCAGGAGGGGGCTCAAGGAATCCTGGGCGGGGGGGCTGGGGAAATCACCCCACAAATAAACATAGCTGGGGACCAGCCATTGGACTGGCGTGGGGTCACCCAGCGGGGGGGGGGGGGGGTCACCTAGGATTTAACCGCAGCTCCGGGTCTGGCCCACCCCGCCACCCTACGGCGGGCGGGAGAGGACAGCCGCTTTCTCGGCGCCTGCCCCTTTAAGAAGCCTCCCGCGTCGCTCCCAGCGTCCCCCGCCCAGGCGCCAGCCAATGGCGCGGCGCGGTGGGCGGGGCGAGTGGAACGCGGGAAGCGGCCGGGCGGGGGGCGGCGCTACATTGTTGCCAGTTGGGGGGTTTGTAACCGCCGGGGGGTGCGGAACGTTCTGTCCGGGCCGCCGCCGCCGCCCCAGGGGCCGCGATCCCCGGGCCCGAGCCCCGGCTCCCACCCCTGGAGCCCTCCCCGGGGCGGGCGGGCGCCGGGCCCGGCCCCGGCCCCGGCCGCCGGGCCCCATGGAGAACTTCCAGAAGGTGGAGAAGATCGGCGAGGGCACCTACGGGGTGGTCTACAAGGCCAAGAACAAAGTCACCGGCGAGGTGGTGGCGCTGAAGAAAATCCGCCTGGATACGTGAGTCCCCCCCCCGGGGAGCCCCCCTGTCTCCGGCTGGGGGGCCCCTCCTGTCGCTCGAGGTTTTGGGGGGGCAGCGGGGGCTGTGTCTCTTTTGGGGGGCACGAGGAGACTGGGCCGGGCAGACTCCTCGCCTCGAGGGCTCGGGGGGGGGGGGCGTGTTGCACCTTGGGGCTGCAGCTCCGGCAGAGAAGGGGTCCGAGGCTGGGCTGGCCCCCGGGGGGCTGCGCCAGGTTCCTCCCTCCCTCTGGGGCTGGGGTGCCCGGGGGGCGGAAGGCGGGGGGGGGGGCTGGCACTTGGCATGAATGCCGGGGGCGAGGTGCATCCTAGGTGGGCTGGGTCCGTTCTGGTTCCGGCTCGGCCGGACCGTTCAGCTGGTGGAGAAGCCAGGAGAGCCCCGGGGTGCGGGGAGGGGGCTGCATGTCCATGGTGCTGCATCCATGCAAAGGGTTTTAGGCTTGCTGCTGCTGCCCTAGGCTGGAGCCTGTGTGGGGGGCGCTGGGCTGGGGGGGCTGGGGCTGGAGTTCTTAGGCCACCTGGCAGAAGTGATATTGGTGACACCAAAGCACTGTTGTTGGGCTGGGGTTGAATGGAGCCCCAGACCTCCTGCGTGTCTCCAGGCTCCCCATGGCGTCCCTCCCCCTGCAGAGAGACGGAGGGCGTCCCCAGCACCGCCATCCGGGAGATCTCCCTGCTCAAGGAGCTGAACCACTCCAACATCGTCAAGTAAGTGTGTGGGGTGGGGGTGGCGGAGTGAGTTAATGAAGTCCCTGCCAGGTGGCACTGCATGGTCGCCGAGCTACTGGGATCCAGAGCCCCTGATCCCCTGGGGCCGGTGGGGACCCAGAGCTGTGGCCCCCATCGTGGTTGGTCTGGGCCCGGCTCCCCAGCGGGATGTGTGCCCCACAAGCTCGTCACGCCGGGTGCTGCCCGCTGCCATCGCTGGCAGCCTCGGTAGAGGCCAAGCCGGGCCTGGGACATGGTGAGCGAACGCCCCCACCCCTCCTGCAAGGGCCTCTCCGGGGCAGGAGCGGTGACGTCTCCTCGTTCCTCTCTCTGCGCTCTCAGGCTGCTGGACGTGATCCACACGGAGAACAAGCTCTACCTGGTCTTCGAGTTCCTGCACCAGGACCTGAAGAAGTTCATGGACTCGTCCTCAATCAGCGGCATCCCTCTGCCCCTCATCAAGGTAACCGGCCCGGCCGGTGTGCTGCTCAGCCCCTTCCCTGGCGTCCTCTCCTCCCCTGACCTGACCTGCGAGCTGAGGTCCCCTCTGACCCCAGGCCTGTCTGCCCCCACTGCAGAGTTACCTGTTCCAGCTGCTGCAGGGCCTGGCCTTCTGCCATTCCCACCGGGTGCTGCACCGCGACCTCAAGCCCCAGAACCTGCTCATCAATGCCGAGGGAGCCATCAAGCTGGCGGACTTCGGGCTGGCACGGGCATTCGGCGTGCCGGTGCGAACCTACACCCACGAGGTGCGTCCGGGCCAGGCTCCCACCTCCTCCAGCTGTCTGGCTCCTGCTGGGACTTTGCTGGGAGGTGGGATCCAGGGGCTAGGCAGTGAGATGGGGGCCACCTCACCTGGGTAGGTGCCCGCTGACGGGCTGAGTATCCCTGTCCTCCCTGCACCAGGACCTCCGGCTCCAGCTGAGCATGGCCAGCTGATCCCGCCCCCTGCAGTGGGGAAGTGACAGGACTGGCCCATGTAGGCTCCCCCATTGCTTAACCTCCTTGTAAGGGCTGAACCTGGCACCCGTCCTCCTGCGGACTCCTCCAAGGCTGTCATGCCACCACCAGCCCCTAGCGGGCGGGAGAGATCCGGCTGCGTCCCCTGTGCCTACTCCAGGCTACCAGATCCAGGGCGTCACACCGCCCTACTGCTCAATCCCTGGGCCAGAGCCCTACTAGGGAGAGGAGCGTGTAACGGTCACCCCCACAAGGCCGGGAGCTCGGACTCATGGGTTCTATTCTCAGCTCCCCCCAAAATTTGCGGTCTCCCCTTGGGTGAGTTTCCCTTTCTGTGCCTCAGTTTCCCCTCTTCAAAATGGGGATTACGACGTTTCCCAGGGGGCCTATGGTGCGTAAAGCTCTTTGGGGTCCTTGGAGCGGAAAGGGTGAGAGACGTCCCGGTCATGATTAACAAGGATCCCCCTCACACACCCCACTTCGCCAGGTGGTGACTCTCTGGTACCGGGCCCCTGAAATCTTGCTTGGCTGCAAGTACTACTCAACGGCTGTGGACATCTGGAGCCTGGGCTGCATCTTTGCTGAGATGGTACGTGCCCCCCGCCCCCGGCACGTGGTTTTTCTTGTCCTGGAGTCAGGGAAGGGCCACGTCCTGCAGTGGGGGGAGCAAAACAAGCACAACCCCCATGCTGGGGGCCTGATCCTGCCTCTGCGGAAAGTCATGTGTGTCTGTGAGGTGGGGGGGGGGGCTTCACCCTGCTCCTCTCTGTTCCTAGCTCGTCCTGTCACATGCTGGGGGAAGAAGCATGAGTTAGTTGCACTGTCCTGCCGCTTGCCAGTGGGGGCAGCAGGTTTCGCTGCCTGGCCTGATGTTAGTTTCCCCCCAGGCGTGAGAGGCTGCATTGAGAGTGCTGTGGGGCAGATCCCAGCCTGGCCGGCTCTGATCAAGGCCCCCCCACCCCACGCACGCTGCCAGAGCTGCTGATGGTGTCAGATGAGCAGCCTCTGCCTTTCTTCCTCTGCCCGGGGGCAGCTCTCGGATGCGCTCAGTGACATCGCCCCGTCCCCGGAGAGGGGTGCTGACCTGCCGAGCGGGAAGCGGGAAATAAAAGGGCTCTGTTGCGTTCTCGGGGGGTGCCCTGCCAGGCATTTCCCCTGCCCTGGGGGAAGGGGTTGTGCTGGCAGCGGGGGTACAAAGAGGTGTGTCATGTGGAACATGTGGGCTGGCGTCTGCATCACGGGGTGGGCGAGTGGGGAGCCGACCACAGAGCGGGCTGTTTCCCATGGGAGCCAGCTGGCCATAAACCTTCGTGCCCAGGTCACCCCCACCCCCGCTGGGTAGAAGCTTTGCTGCAGTGGGGGGGGTCAGTCACGAGGCTGTAGAGCGAGGGGACGATTCATAGGGTTTAAGGCCAGAGGGGAGCATGAAATGGTCCACGCAGGCCATTAACTTCCCCCTGTGCTGAACTCAGTAATTGGTGTGTGGCCAAAGCATCCCTGGCTCTCAGATCCCTCTCTTGGGGAGAGAGGAGGGTGGGAAAGCCCCTCTCGTAGCTTTGAGCCACTGGGAGGTGGGGCTGTGCTGGGACCTCGCTTGACCCCTCTCCTGCTGTCCAGATCACCAGGCGAGCCCTGTTCCCTGGAGACTCGGAAATTGACCAGCTCTTCCGCATCTTCCGGACGCTGGGCACCCCGGACGAGGCCGTGTGGCCAGGGGTCACTTCCATGCCCGATTACAAGCCCAGCTTCCCCAAATGGGCCAGACAGGACTTCAGCAAGGTGGTGCCCCCTCTGGACGAGGAGGGGAGGAAGCTCTTGGCTGTGAGTAGCTGGGGCGGCTCCAGGATTGACCCGGTACCTTGAGGGCGGGCGGGGGGAGAGGAACAAGGTTTCTTGGGAGAGTGCAGGGCTGGATCTGGGGACTAGAAGCCACTTGCCATGCAGCCGTAGCCAAGCTTCTTAGCCCTCCACTGGTGCTACGTGGACAGCAAGCAGCCCCCCCCCCCCCCACCACCACAATGGGGCAGCCTGAGACACAGTGGGGAAGTGACTTATCCTGGCCATGCAATCAGTGGCAGAACCAGGAATAGACCCCAGGTCCCCATGCTGTAGCTGCTCCTATCCCACAGCTGGAACTAGAACCCAGGAGTCCTCTGCTGTAACCGCTAGGCCCTCCTGCTGCGAGAGGTGTTAGCCCTGGCACCCGGACCAGAGTCCATCACATCGTCTCCCTAAATTCCCCCTGGAGATGTTGCCAGGGTTTGAGATTCCATCTCATTCCCTGTCCGTGGTGGTGGACCACGCTCCACCCCGAGACAGCTGCACGACAGCCTTGGGTGTGACCCGCCTTGGTGCTTCATGACGAAAGTTGCCATGGGAATGACTGGGTTACCACCAGACCCATCCCCCACTCAGTTCCCCCCACCCACAATAACCACCCACCCCTCTCCTATCCAGCAAATGCTGCACTACGACCCCAACAAGCGGATTTCGGCCAAGTCAGCGCTGAACCACCCCTTCTTCCGGGACGTCACCAAGGCCGTCCCTCACCTGCGCTTGTGAAGTGGTTTCGGGGAGGGGGCCAGCCCAGCCAGGACTCTGCTGCCCCCACTCTGGCTCTGTCTGGCCTATGCCTGTATCTGGATCTGTCTCCTGGGGCTGGACCTGCCCCGGGGGTCCTGAGACTCATCCCGCCCCAGCGGACTTGCACTTAGCCTCCCGAACGGAGAGGGTGGCAGCCCAGCCCCCATTGCCCTGGCTGGAGCTCCTAGTCTGTGGCTCTGACCCTCCCTGGAGGGCTTGGATTCCAGCACCAGCAATGGGACCTTGCTCGCTGCAGCTGGGAGCATCCCTCACCAGCCACCCTGGTTGAGCCCCTTCTCCTTTCACCTCCCTCGGCATGCCCCCATCTGAGACTCTTCAGTGATGTCTCACATCCTCTGGAGCCCCCCGAATTCCTGCTCCAACACAGGGCGAGCCCTCCTGGAGCCCCCATACCTCCTTGATGGGTGGAAGGCAGGGAGGGTCTGGCTGGGGAACCTCCCCTCCTACCTTCAAGATTGGTTCAAACTGGATACGCTCAGCTGGCCCCGGTGAACTCGCTCCCCTGCCTGCTTCTCGTCCAGCACCCTGGAGTCTGCTGCACTAGAGACTCGAACTGCAGCTGGTGCTCCTGGCGACTCCTGTTCCTGCTGCAAATTGGACCCTGCAGATTGGCTGCCCGAATCCCCAGCAGCTCTTTGCATTGGGCGGGGGCCCACAGGAGTGGCACACGTCCCCAACCACTCAGGCAACAAGTGTTGTAAGGGCTGATCCTGCAGCGTGTTGGGCCCACTCAGCTCCCCTCCTCCCCTGGCAGGATCTGACCCTAATCAGGAACTCTGCTCACTTATCATCCCCCCCACCTTAGTGTCCCATGGGCAGAAGCGTTTTGACCAACAGGGCCCAAGACCCTCACATGTCCAACGCTGGCATCCTGCCCCCCCATCTCACCAGGTGCGACCTGATGCATGTAGCTTCTGCAGGGAAGCAGGTTCCTCATCCGCTCCGGGGAGAATCTGCACCCACAGGAGGGGGTTTGCTCTAAAGGCTTCACCCTGCACAGCATGGTGGAACGGGAACCTAGCAGCTGAAAGCAATTGTTGCAGCCAGCTCTTCTCGTGGCCCCCCTGCAAGACGCCCCCCTATTCTCTGCTCCCTGAAGGGCTTTGAAAGCAAAGGGCTTTGTCCCGGAAAGGAGCCCCTGGCCTGACAGTGCTGCAGTCTCCTCCGACAGATTCTCCCCCCACCGCATCATTGGCCGCTCATTCTGTGGTGCTGCCTATGGCCAAGTGCGATGCAAGGGGACAGATCCTCCGTGGGTGTCGATCAGGGTGGTTCCACTGATTTGTCAATGGTGCTATGGCAGTTTATGCCAGCTACAGATCTGATCCCAGAATCTGACATACACCTCACTAGAGCTGGTGCCCTCCACCAGCCGGGTTGTTTCCCAGCGGGGGTGGGACTCCTTGTCACTTTTCTTTTGGCTTAGATCTTCCCATGCCAGACGCACTTCAGCTCGTGGAAAGGTTGGCTCTGGCACCTGGGGCCAGATCCCCAGCTGGTGTGGACAGCGTATCTCCACTGCCTTCAGCAGAGCGATGCGTATTTACACTAGCTGAGAGTCTGGCCTGTGAAACGGGCATGTGCACCTGTTTTAATTCTCCCTCCTTTCCTGTGGGCTTCCCCAGCCGCGTTCTCTAGGGGAGCAGGGGCAGCTCAAGGCGTTAGGGGGTGCTACTGAGTCTCAGTTGGAGTAGTTGTCCACTTAGATTGTCCTGGAGGGTGGGGAAGGGTGACACCCTGTTCGAAAGTATCCCCCATCACCTAGCCCTCAGCAGCTGCTTCCTTTTAAGTGCAGTGCAGATGGGGTGTTTGGATAGATTGGAAGGCTACGATTGAGATCACTGAGGTAGCAGCTGTTGCTGGGGCAGCTCTCCACCAGAATAACATGATCAGTTTCAGATGAGCTGGTACTGTTTCCCTACAAACAGCTCCATTTGTAAAAGTCTGGGACATCCCATGGTGTGGATGGTGCGCTGCTGTCACCTGCCCACCTCCAGGCTCTTGGGGCCTGCTTAAAGAAGGGATGCGGGGGGGGGGAAATCCACATCTAAACCAAAATTGAACAGTTGACAATAGATGAATAGAATATTTAAACACAGACTTAGTGTATTTTATAGTAAAGCATTTTATATTTAAGGATTGTTTACAGAAGTATTTGAGGTACAAATTAATATTCAAGGAGAGGAATGATCATTAAGGGAAGCTGTGGATTTAGCGCATAAGCCACATAGGCCTTTTCCAGATGAGGGTTAAAAGTTGGAATGGTTCTGTTCCTATCACAGCTATTTTGATCTCTTGTATCTTGAGTTTCTTTAGAGCAGAAGGGTTGGGTCTCGTGTCCTTCCACAATGGACTAGCTTTTTTTCTCAACTCAGTTGCCTAAAGAAAAATGTAGGGTTAGGACAGCAACATAAAGTGCCTGATGGAAACCAGTTTGAGGAGGGAGGGGAAGCTGAGCCGCAGAGATTTCCCCAAAACAATGCTGCTGCCAAGTTTTGATGAAAACAGAGGGAAGGAGAGATGCAGATGGGGTTAATAGCTATAGTGACACAATATCTGCGAGCATGAATATATATATTTTTTGGACTGGAACAAATAGGGAAATATTTATAAGGCCATGTTAGTTTTAAAGCAGAGCTCTGGATCTGTATAAAGTTTGTTAGACAAGCACCGTGGAGTTTTTGTAAGTGAATATTTTTAAAAATCAAACCCTAGAATATATTTGTCGTCCTTGATTCTTTGTAGACTGTTGTTTCTTACCAAATGTTAAAAATATTATGGGGTTGGTTTATAAATCATTAAAAATATTCTTAGTTTTAACTTGAGTCATGAATGTGCTTTGTTTTGTTTTTTTCCTCCAAAGGGGGTAGCTACAGAGGAAAATATCTTCTATTAGATGAGAGAGGAAGTCCTGTCCAGTGGGTAGGTCACTTAGAAACAGGTTCTATTCTCAGCTCTGCTACAGACCTTGGGCCAGTCACCCAGGCCCACATCCACAAAGGTATTTAAGTGGGCATTAGGCACCAATTTCAATGGGAGTCACCCATTCCAATACCTTTGAGGCTCTGTGCTTAAGAGCTCCTCGTCATGGGCCAGGCCCCCATTGTGCTCGGTGCTGCAGACAGCCCCTGCCCCAAAGAGTTTACAATGTAAGATGAGAGATAACAGCTGACAGAGCATAAGCAGAATAGTACCAGTGATATGCACAGCTGAACTAGGGTCCATTAAGTTTATCTGTGAAAGTTCTTCCCTGCAGCCTTGTCAATTGTTTTTCCTTTTTAAAAAGTGGAGTGATTTTAGTGATGAGGGCAATAGTCTAACAACTCTGCCTTACAGTAGGTGTACGGATGTTGGACGAAGCTCCCATTAGCTCTGGCAATGTTACAAGGGGCAGGCCCCCTGCTATGCCAGCCCTGGGCTCCCTACCCACCCCCATGGATGCCCCTCAGTCCCCACCTACGACCCTCCCTCCTTTTGCAACCTTTCTGGAATAGCAGCTGCCATTTTTGCCAAAGGGTTGTGAGCTCCTGGAGGCAGGGGCCAGCTTTTTGGTGTTTATGCAGCTGCTGACCCAGGCCTGCAACTCTGGTAATATCCATAAGCAGGGGGCTGGCAAGACAGGCTCAGGCCCTTTCCTGGGTCACAGCAACACCCTGTTAGCCTCGTGTCTGGACAGGGCCCGGTGCCCCACAGGGGCAACGTGCCCCCTCGGGCCTGGCTGGCTGCTGGCAACTTGGCCCCTGCCCTATCCCAGCCCTTGGTGCCTGAACCTAGGCCCTGCCCTGGGTCATCGGACTCCTGGTGCCTAGACCCCGCGGTCCCTCACCCCGGGCTACCTGCCTGGGCTACCACGGCCTTAGGCCCCTCCCCTAATCTTAGGCCCCTCCCTTATCTGGGCCCCACACCTCAGGCCCCTCCCCTGTCCCTGGGCTCCACCCTCCCCGGCCCCCTTGGGCTCCTGGTGCCTGGCCCCGCCCCCTGCTCTCTGGGCCCCCAACCGTCGTCTATTTTTAGCTCAATTAAGCTAATTGGGGAGAGGTTCATGACAAGGTCAAAGGTCAGATTCCCAGAGGCCTCCGTGCTCACACCTCCCTTCTCAGCCCCACCCTGCCAATTATTTCCCGGCCCGTCTCTGATTGGTCAGAGGGGAGGCGGGCCGTCCTTTAATTGGACAGAATAGGGAGGGTGAGACGCCTTCGGTCGCTTGTCAATCATCGCGTTCTGGTCTCAGATTGGTAAAGCTGGAGGCTGTCTGCCCTGTGATTGGAAAGAGGGGACGGAATTCCTGATTCTGATTGGACACCGGAGCTTGAGGGTCCCGCCCCTTTAGGTCACCTTATTTGTTGTTGCTGCAGCCCCCGGAAGAACTGCTGTTTCATTGGCTTCAGAGTCCGTCAGTTAACATAAGATCCACCCTATCATGACGTTTTTCTATTTTATTGGTCTGTTACCACCATGCTGTCCCAGTTGTCATTGGCCAAATTTTGCGCCCGTCCGGCCACTTCTGAGCTCTCATTGGTGAATCGAATTGGGGGGCCGGGCGATGCGTTTTCCGGAGCGGCAATTGGGCGAGACGGCTGGCAGGGGCGGGTCCGCTCGCCAGGTGCCCGGCACGGATTGGCGCGGCCGCCGCTTAACCCCGCCCACCAGCGGCAGGTTTGGTTGAGAGCAGCTGTTTGTGTGTTCGACACTTTAGGGGCCGAGACGGGGGGAGCCGGAGCCGGAGCCGCCTCAGGTACCGGGGAGCGGGGGTGGGGCGCGGCGCGGCCGGGGCCCTGGGTGGGGGCCTAGGGGGCGGGGAGAAGAGTTGGGAGGGGCCGGACCCCGGAGGGGGGGGGGCCCTCGGGTGGTTGGGGGCTGGGCGCGGGGGGGCCCGGTCCGTGGCGGGGGGGGGGGGGAACCGGTGTCCGTGGGGGGGCAGGGGGCGGAGCCTGGGGGCAGGGGGCGGAGCCCGGCGTTGGGCTGGGCTGGGGGTGGCTGCCCTGGGCAGGCTGGAAGGAAGGGGGGAGACTTGGGTCTCTCGGGGGGCCCAGGGTAGTGGGATGGATGGGGCTTGGCAGCTGGTAGGGCTGCCCCATTGCGGGGAGGGGAGATCAGGGTGTGTCTTCCTGTAGGATGGCAAAGGGGCTGTGTATCCCCCCCCCCCGCCCCACCCCGTGCCCCTGCCCCAGGGTTTGGGGTTCTTGAGGTCCCAGCAAGCTTTCTGGGCCTGCTGTGCCCCAGCCCCCCCAGCTGTGCTCTGTCTGCTTAGGTGAGGGTACAGAGACTCCTTTCTGTTTCCCCTGTCCCCCTTTGCACACCGCTCTGCTCGAGGCCTGAATGCACCTGTCCCCAGTGCTGGGGCCTGAGTTCATTCTTGGTCCTCACACCTGCCCATGTTACTAATGTGCCTTTTCCATAGCGAGGGACAATACAGCACAGATGCTCGCCCCTCTTCCTCCTCCTCCTGGTCAGCCCACCAAACACACCAGCAGCTTATAGCCCTTAACAGCAGGGACACCTGGGGATGGAAGACACCACCTCATTGCGTTTCTGTTCTTGTGAGCAGACCTGTGCAAGTGGAACCGTGTAGTGTATAATTAACATCTAGGGCTGGTCTGTCGACTCAGCCTCCAACGTGTTCCTGGCTGGGCATTGCTGGTGGTTCATACTATCCAGGAGCTAACAACAAGGATTAGTGGAAGACGGGAATATTAGAAATTCATGGAGAGAATCCCACAGCCCTGAGGTGCTTCTAATCTTTGTCTTCCAATTTAACTCCATTAAAAATGCATTGGAACAGGAGATCTTCCCAGAGGGACAAAGTGGGAAAGTGATAAATATTTCTTTTATTGGAGAGAGCAAAAAGGGACTCTGCCTTCTAAATTGGGGCAGCTGGGAAGATGGGATAACCTGGTGTACCATCAATTATCAGGTTTGTCTCACGGGTCGTTCCTACTAGGGGCTGATTGCCAGACTCTACCTGGGAATATGGGTTAGTCTCTCAGCTGGAATCCTATGGCTGTCTCCAAACATAAGTAGAGGCTACAGTGATGGGCACGTTAGAATGCAATATGTGCTGGAATGTTTATTTTCAGGGCACTAGTGCCTCAAGGGCTCTTGGTATTTAGGTTAGTTCTTTCCCCTTCTGGGATGGCCGCAGTGCTGTCAGCTCGTGTTAAATTTTCTGTGTTGAATCGGATACTTTATTATTTGCATGTCAATTAAGGAAAGGAGGAAGTGAATCATGGAAGTTCAGAGATTGGGGAGGCCTTGTAGATCATCCAGTCCCCGCTATATTAGTGTGTAATTGCTACCGACAGTCTTGTCTCCTGTATCCGGTCTAGTTTTAAAGATTCCTGCAATAATGGTGCTTTCACCAGTTCTCTCTGGAGATATGTCTACACTGCAATGTCGGTCCAGGGCTAGTAGAACTCAAATTAGCAGACCCTGGGATTGTTAACCTAAGGTTTGAGCGTCTACATGCATTTTTAACTCCAGGTTAGGAACTGTAGAACGCTGGGACTCCAGTGTCTACATTTCATCTTGCAGGCCCATGTTCAACCACCTGTATCTCAGACTTCCTAGCACCCTCCCAAAGTGTAGCTGCTCTAGCCCTTTGTTTGTGGTGCAGTGTGGGAAAACTTGACTGTCCGGAGGACAAAGAAAGTCAGCCCGTGGGATTGTGGAATACTTCTGGTGGACTCCCATGGTACATCTACATTTTGATAAAATATCCATGGCATGAGAGGATGGTCTCAGCTCCAGCCTGAATGTCTACACTGCAGTTTTTAGCCCTGGAGCCTGAGTCAGCTGACCTGGGCTTTGAGGCACAGTGCTGTGGGTTTTAGTATCAGTGTAGACATACCCTCAGAGCACAAGTCCAGTGGGGTGGGGCTGCATCTACACTGCAAAGCAATAGGGCTTGAACCCTGGGTCTGGACTTGACTCAGCCTTGGACCCTCCGTTCCTGTGGGATCCTGGGACCCTGGGTTAGCACCATTTGTGTGTAGACAGAAGGGGGGTTAGGCTTGAGCCTGAGTTCAAATCCTGGTCTTAAATTGCAGTGTGGGCTTACCCTGAGAACTATTTCATCCTTTAGCAGATCTCTGCTTTTGGGAAGCTTTTCCTGACATTCGGGCTGAGCTTGCCTCCCCTTAATCTTGTCCCATTACTCCTTGCCATTGGCCCAACCATTTTCATTCTCCTTGCTTACAGAGTAGTAAAGCAGTGATGTGAACAACTTCCTCTAAGCGTGATGGAGGGGAGGAAGCAGATCTCCTGCTCTCACAATGGTTAAGCAGTGCTGAAATCCTTAAGGGTCGCAGCTGTGCTGTACTCTCTCGAACCCTACCCTGAATTTTCCCCTAGTCTTCAACTCAATCTCAGAAATATTTTCTATGTTCTTTAAGTGGCTTCACATATGCAACGCTTTCCTCCCTGCTTATTAATGTTTGATGACTGGCCTAGTACCCATATGAATTTTTCTAACTTCTTGTGGAGGGAAAGGAAGAGACGCTGCATTGTTAATAGCTAGAGCAAGGGACTGGGAGCTTGGACTCCTGGCTGCCACTGCCAGCTTTGCCACAGCTTCACTGTGTGAGTGGGGAAATGGAGGGTACATAGAGGGGAAGTGACTTTTAACCTCCTTTGGGTGTCAGGATCTATTAAACATTGCCAAGTGACTGCTGATCACCTCCCCATGCTCGCCTAGAACGTGGCTGTGTTGTTATTAGCCCTTTGGCCTGGCCACTAACATTGCTAGTGTAGCAAGGAGAGCTAACTCTCAAGTCACTCCTTTTATTTAAATCAATACATGCTCTTGCTAGAGACAACTTGTGGGACCATTATTGCCTCTGTTCGGATGCATGGGGGAGCATGGCAGGGAATATCCTGGCCTATCTTGGGGGAGAGCCCTGCCTTCCAGGTGCTTCTTATGTGACTAATTTCCAAAGTTTACTATAAGCTCAGCACAAGAGCTTTCCATGCTGCGGGCAACATGCTCACCCCTCTTTCCGCCTGCCTGTGTCTGACAGTAAATCCCTGTTTTATTTTACACTTGCAACAAGTGGTTGCGATCGAAGGATAATCAGACAGACTCTGGCGGGGTCATAGAGACAAGTGACAGCTTTGTTGCGGGGTGCTTAATAAACCTGGTGTCCCTTAGTCTTCCAGCAATGCCATGAAAGCTTACCAGGCAAACGCGCAACTGGTGTCTGGAGAACTAATGCTTGCCCTGGGTGCAAAGTTTTATTAAGTCTTCCAAAATTCTAGTTGATCCTTTCCCAGATCACTACATCGCCCAATGCCTGCTGAAAACAAGCTTTAATTTAACAGAGTTGCTATATTGTGCTGGTTAATTCCATCCATGTATCGCTGCCTTCCACTGGATGAAATCAAAACTGCTCACCTTTGTTAGATAGGCCTTGTATTGCTAAGGGAGATCCTACCTTTTCCCCCCTCAACTGAAATGGACGTGTGTTTTGGAGCAGGAGAGGCTGGGTCCTGTCTCTGCGGCTTCTCAAGTTCTGTGTGAGTGTCGCATTAATTTGCGGACAACGGGGCATTCCTGGGTGACTGCAGTTGTTGTACAGGATATTCCTAATCTGTCTAGTAGAAAGAAGACTGGTGGCCCTTGATCCACCGGATATCAATATTGTGAGTCAATGAGCATTACCTCTTTAATGGTCAGTGGTGTGGAGTGACTTTACATGTAAATACCCTGGAGACAGAGGTGCTAATTATCCCAGCGGTGACTCTTAAAGCTTTGTTTGGTGACTGTAATTGGAACCGAGCTGGGTAGAGGTGGCCGGACTGCAGCGTAGTTCAGGATCCAGGATACGTATTGAGGAAAGAACCAGAGGCAGGAATGCACGCATTTTAATGGCAGCTATGACACAGGACTCTTAGTTTCAAATCCCCATGTAGACAAGACCCTCCATCACCTGTTGCAAGTGGCTTTTGGGCTTAGTTCTCAACAGTAAACTGGAGGGGAGGATACTTGTCTCTTTCCTGTGGATGCTGAGGATAAACTAGTGTGTAATGCACTTTGAAGACTAGAAAGGCTGTGTAGGTAAATGTCTCTTGTCTGAACAGTGGGTATGCCTGGGCCCCTGTTGAGAAGTCTCATACCTGGATGGGGAAAATGGTGGATCCATTGCAACCTTATTAATAAACGGAACAAGCTCCCAGCGAGCTGTATCAGGCTGTGCTGCTGTTATTTTGTATCTGACGGTGCATCACCAGGGCTCTTCAGGAACATAGAATATCAGGGTTGGAAGGGACCTGAGGAGGTCATCTAGTCCAACCCCCTACTCAAAGCAACTAAATCATCCCAGCCAGGGCTTTGTCAAGCCGGGCCTTAAAAACCTCAAAGGAAGGAGATTCTGCCATGTCCCTAGGGAACCCAGTCCAGTGCTCAAAGAGTCTCAAAACATCTCAGAGTCCAGAGCAGTGGCTCCCTTGTAATATGCTCTCATCTTCTCATTCCTGTGAGGAACCTGATCCTGCAGCCCTTGCCCCGGCAGAATGGCCACTGAAGGGAATGGGGTTCCACACTACTTGGGTGTGCACCGGGGTCGGATCTGTAACTCCTGCATTTCAGGCTTTCAAATACTGGGTGGTCAGGGTAGGATCCAGTTCGTTGCATCCTCTTCACTGTCTGGCTAGGTAATAAAGCGGGGTGGGGAGAGAGGGCTGATGGCAGATTTAACCCATGCGTGTGGTTTTGATGGCAGTGGCTTATGTTGTATGTGA